TACAAGTATGTTTTGAACAATTCTAGAATCAGGAATCAGTGCCAAGAAGACGTATTTTGTTTGCAATGCCAATAAGCTTGCCTGCATAATCTTTGATTGTCTTCGAATCTTTCATCCTTTACATCTCAAGTTCTCGAACCAAATTCAAAGCTTGCATTCCTTTATTCTCTCACTTCCTTCATACTCTTCCTTCAAAAACTTCCAGATTTCATATGTCGTTTTCAACGTTATTATTCGGTTGAAAATGATTGGAGATACAGCTGTGAACAAAATTGATTTGGCTTTAGACTTTTGAAGCCTCATTTCTTTGTGATTTTTCATTTGAGCAATCGTAGGATTATTTAGCAAGGGAGACACTTTGTAGTTCTCTTCTACCGCTTCCCACACATCGTTAGCATCTAGATATGCTTTCATTTTGACAGCCCACATTTGATAGTTTAGTCCATCAAATACAGGCACAGAAATGGTAGTAAATGATGTTTGAGATTCCATCTTATGTGTGGTGGCTATTTTTTGGTTGTAGGTGTTTATGGATTATATCACAAATCCCGTAAGATCCTTTATGCTCTGATACCAATTGTTGGGTTTTAAAGTATAAGAGGTAAAAGAATGAAAGGGGAATTGATATATTTTATTGAGTGTATAAGCAGTAAATATTTATAATACAGGATTTGTAACCGACTTTGAAAAATATGTAATAAACTAATTAATTAAATAAGGCATGAAATTCTAATAAAAAGTAGGATTGAAATATATTTTAATTGATTTGACTTCTTCTATCACATGTTGTTTGAGTCACAAAATTCCAAGAGAAGGTTTAAGAAAATTGGAATAAGATAGCACTCATTTATTTTTTTGGGTGAGATTCAACCCATCTATTTCACCATCTTCATCGTATTCTTTAGGTTCTAGTGTAGCAATGTTGAACCTTTGATAAATGCTGGTAAGAGTTTTAATGCCTATCATCTAAATTTTCTTCAATTTCTAATGTTGTTCCTAAAGATTGTCTACCCAACTTTTTCTTGGTTAAAGCTTCTACTTTTCATTTCTCCCAATTCTATGTAGAAAACTCGTGAAACTATCTTTTTTCAATAAGTATCTTTTTCGTCAAAAGATTGTATATCATGTAAAAAAGTACTAACTCCTTATTTTGTAATCCATCTTGTGTCTCTTTACATTCGGAAAAAGTGTATAACATACACAATCAAATATTTTGAGATGCCCCATCTTTAAAAGGATTATTTTCCTTTCAAGGCTTTGGTAGGCATCATTTTAAAAAAGTTTGTAGAGGTAGGAATGACAATGAGGCAAGACGGGTGCTGGTTTCAATATACAATCCTCATCCCCAAACCTAATAAATATATAAATTGTATCTCATCCTTGTATCTATCAGACATATTCAATATTAAGAAGACATATTCTCTTTTATTCAGGATGTCAAATATTAAAAACAAATTATTTATAAATCTCAAATTAGAGTATCAAATAACTTGAGAAAATTCAAAAAAACTATATAAATACTAAACAATTACACATAACTAAAATTTCATAATAATCAAATCTATTAATTTTGCAAATGATTAGTAGTTTCATTTGCATTTGATCCATCTACATATATAAAAATTTTAATTGCTTCACATTCTCTTCTCATATTTAACATCTTCATCCTCCTTATTTTACTGCCTTGGAACTCTTCCTTGAGCTTGCCCGAAGCCTCTTTTGTTGTCTCAAGATTCAATATTAATAAAAAAAATAATCGTGTATGACTACATGTATAATGGCAAGTACTTTGTCTTCTTTGCCACTTCTTTACCATAGAATTTTATCTGAGCCATTGTTGGGTTGTCTAGTAAATGGGTTGTATTACTTCCATCTTTCACCACTTCCCATAGAGTTTGATCTTTCAAATAAGATATCATTTTTACAATCCTCAAATCATAATTTTCTCCTACAAAAATATGAGGTTGAGAGATAAAGAACTGTTTCTTGATGTTATCCTTTCTTTGAATATTTTTTGTTCTAGTTTGTATATGACTTTCAAACTGATTTTCACTTCCTCATATATCTTAAAAATCAAGGATCTTAATATTATGTTAAGAAATCAGCAAAAAATTTTAAAAGTTGTAAAACTAGAGAAAAAACAGAAAAGAGAGATTTTGTTGTGAAATTACACGATGATAAAAGGGAGACAAATAATTTATATCAATATTTTGAGTGTAATGGTTTTTGTGTTACAAAAGGATTCTCTCTAATTAACAAGAGAAATGTAAATCTACACAAAATAAATAATGTCACTCATTTTCACTTAACCACTAACCATACAACCAACTTTCCTACATAACAAGGTTTATAATTAAATTCAACCTAGACTAAACAAAACAAAAAAATAATATCTTAGAGAAGTATCTAGAAAAGTATATCCATTTCTGACAAACCACAAACTCAATAATTAATATTATGACCAAAGTCCTTCTTTTCTTATAGAATTTTGTTTACTCTTCTATAAGGCACACCAAATTTTTTTTTAATAAATTGGTCAATTTTTTGTCAGAGCGATGCAATAGAATGGTTAACGTGAACAACAATTAAAAGAGAGGTAAATTAGTTTCTTATCGCAAATCGTGCCTTTAAATATTTTCTCTTGTAAATAAAATTTCTTAACAATTTTAAAACAAATAAGAGAGTAAGGAAGAGAAAAAATTGCACATGTGATTTTTATACTGGTTTAGCTTACAAAGATCCTACATCCAGTCGTTAATATCAAATGAGAATTAACAATCCACTGTCACAAACCAACAAACTGTTACAATCACAAAAACAATAAATAAGTTTAAGGTTAGAATACCTCTCTTGTTACGCCCAAAAGATGAAACTCACTTCCCTTGAAACTTACAAGGAATGAACACCTCCTTCGAATTTTTCAAGAAAAATTATCACCTCCTTTGAATCTTCACAAAGGATGACAGGCTTTGACTCAGCAACAACAACAACACTAAATCACAACTCCAACGAAAGTTTTCACTCTATGTCAAACACCAAGTTCTCAAAGCCACAAACACAACGCTTATACAAACCTTAGAACACACTTATCATAGCACACAACAAAACATATAAGATTTTCGAAATTCATGTATTTCGTATATTAGAATGAGAATCTTAATCAAATTTATAATCTCACTCAAGGATACCTCCAAAAATCTGTTGTCAGTTATTTAACGCGTGATAATCAATTATCTAAATGAGGTAATCGATTATGCATTTAATGAATGCACAATAGTAAAAAACTTGTTTGAAAATTCTTATAATTGCTCGTGATAATCGATTATGACAAATCATAATCGATTATTATTAGTTGGTAATCGATTATTCTGAGTCAAAATGAGATTTTCTAATTCCAAAACGAATTTTAAAGCAAACTAAGAACACGCAATACATAGAATCAAGAATACACAACAACCTATACATAAATCTACTAAATTACAAAAACTTTAACATAAAACAAGTCTTCATAAAGATCTTCTTACAACATGAACACTTAAGACTTGATTTTGAGGTATCGTCAAAACTTCTAGGCTTCATCTTTATGCTAACAAATTTGATTTGTATAAATTACCTTAAAAAGTTTGACAACCTTATAATTTTTATAGATTTGTGTTCCACTTCTTCCTTAAGACTTCTCGTTTAAGCTATATATGGGTTGATAGAATTGGATTCCTTCAATTCATCACTATATGCCATAAATCAATATATGTCACTCTATTTTCAGTAGTTGAATGACTTCGTAGGTTTTCATATATGTGCTTTCTTACTGGTTTTTTGTCACTCTATTTTACGTCTCCCTTTTTTCCATCTGTCGTGCACCCTAAAAAATTAATAAAACTCTTAATACCATATTAAAGAAATAAAACAATAACACGTACCAGTAGAATCAACGAATAAAAGATCTCTCGATACTCTAATTTAGCATCTCCTCTCATAGTGAAAGGTAGAATGCCTGCAAGCCTACCTAAAATCAATAGTTAGGTTGATCCTGTTATCTCTTAGATTTTGTGAGGGACACATGGAAGTTTGAGGGTATATAAACTCTGCAGGTAAACTAGCTTTCACATGGGAAGGGGTAGGGACCATCATCTTTCTTATGCATGAAGTTGCCTCCAGAACTTTTGGAAGCTTGATGTGATTTTAACATGAAGTGCTTTCCTAATCAGTTCTATAGGTGATGTAAATGTCATCGGTGGTGTATACCACAGTTGTGACAGACCTTAATCGTCCGACACAGATGCTGAAATTGTAGTTTTGAAGAGTGATGCCCTCGATATAAGGCTTCTCTGGGTGGCCATTTTCGAATTAACCATATATATGGTTAGGAGGATGAGATGAACATAGAATATTGGGTGCAATAAAAGGTTTAGTAGAAAGAGGATGAGGATTCTATGATGTTTTGGAGTTGTGGCAAACTTGTTGGTAGGCTACTATATGATTTGTTCCTGATCTGGTAAACGACTGGTTGACCACATAAGGTTTGGCCTTTTGGTATCATGTAATTGGGGGTGTAAGTATTCATAAAGGCCTATAAAAGACAAATTCGATATGGGATATCATTTGAGGCATTGTTCGTTTTAGAAATTCTGTCATAATTTTGGTTTTAAAAGGTGTATCAGTGTGTTGAAGTATAGAAGAAATATTTAAACTAGTTTAACTTCAAGTTTTAAGCAATATCAAACTATTACATGTACGAGAAGAATATTTTGGTATACAAATTCGTTAAGGATTGCTATGGAGCTGTTGTGGGATTTTGCTAGAGTCCTTTATTTTTTAGAGCTTTTGAAGGTGTTAGTTTAAAATACATTTTTTTAACAACTCTACTTTTTCCTTTTTTTTGTGTAAAATAATATTATGCAGTATGTAAAATTATTTCGTTAGCAGAAACCTCATTGCATGACATAGGATTTAAGGTTGACTTCCCATACCATTAATATCGGTTTGTACATTTATGACAGCATGCAATCAATCATTGATCGCTTTAACAAGCTCAACGAGGACCATGGTTGGATAATGGATCCTGCTTCATCTGTCAAGGTAACAATACATCCTGCATTGTTATATATCTCCAAGCTCTATAAAACTCCATCAAAGCATCTTAACCTGAACAGCTCCACCATTGTCTTTATATGGCTTTTGAACATAACATCCTTAAAAACTGCAAACACGGAATCCTACTTGTTATCAGCACACCATGAGTATTCTTTACACTCATTCAAACTGTTGATTGTTGTAGTAATTCATTCAGGGAAGAATCCTTTGTCTTCCCTTCTTGAACTGTCTTTGAGGCGCCTGATCATGAATAAACCTGCTAGGCTTACTCCAGTTAACTGTTAGTGTTGAGTTGGTTACATAGCTTGATTGATGTTAGTATTTCAATTTTGCCTGTTGGTCTACCCTTTCGTCTTTCTGTTCTTAGTCTTCCCGCAAAATTCAAAACCATTTTACCCTTCTTTCCAAACCCTATTGCCAACATTCTCTAGATCGTTCCATTAAACTCACTCACAGTGCTATAAACATACCCAAACAGTGTGCAGGCACTTTGTTTCAGTCCTGAATGCTGATTCAATATAAACTGCGATAGGTAAGGATATTTTGATCGCTGTTAATTTAACACACCTTGCATTTGTAATATGCATTATTGTTTATTTTCTTACAAAATGGTGTTATAAACTTCTAATATATGTATTTCTGCTTTGCTAGTTTTGGCAGAGAGAAGCAGCATGCTTAAGGCAACAACTAGAACGTTTGCAAGAAAGCAGCAGGTAAAATATTAAAACCAATTGAATAATTGTCATTAATATGGAAACTATAAAGTAATATTCTTACTTTTTGATCAGTAATTAAGTACTATATAATATAACAGATAATATAAACTAGCAAAATTTTACAACGTTGTATTCTCTTTTTGTAAGCCAATGACGTGAAAATATATTAGACAAGGTATAAGGAGTACCTCAATACACAGCCATTCATAGTATAGATTTTGCTTTCATTAAACCTACCCACTATATAGAAAAACATATAATCCAAACTTTTATAGCTATAATACCACTACTAGCCTTTCAATAATTTCTACTAGGTACATGGACCACCCATAAATAGAAAAAGAATAACTTTCACTTTATTTGAGGACATCATACTCAATTTGTAAAGCTAGAGTAAATATCAAATTTTAGGTATCTCATGAAAATAACATTTTTCAATTTGAAATTTCATTTAATAACTTGTATACAAACATTTTCATAGAAATACCACAGTTACAAAAATTCCAAAGGTTCTTGAAACTCAAAAACAACTTTAACACACTTTTTTACTAACCCACGAGATCTTTAATCAATTTTACATTAGCACTAAAAAAACATTAAATAATAACTAGTTTTTGAAACAAAAAGTAATTAGCCATTACAATAATTAGTTTAGATACAATTTGTAAAAAAATATTATTAGTAACTAAAATAGTCTCTATTATAAATACAAATTTAAAATGGTCTGTAAAATAGACTTGAAAATACTCTTTAATATTAATTATTAAAAAATTAGCGTCTAAATTAGTTTATAAAATTAGTCGTTAGCTTCCAAAAAATTAATGTCTAAATTATCTATTTAACTTTTGTATTATAACTCTTGAATATTCTGAGAGATCCATTTTATTCTCAATAAAAATCCGTGATTTTATATTTTAGATATTGATTATTTGAACATGATAATAAACTAATATGATCTAGAATGGTAGAAAACCAATAGGAATAATCTAAAATGTTTAACAACTATTAATTAATTGTATATCATGATGTTCTTAACTGTGAATATGTAACTATGTCAATATAATATAGTATAATCAGAGATGTTGTTAATGTAATCATATATTAGGCATTACTATGTTGGCTATTACTGTGAAGATTAGCTACTACTTTAAGGTTATTAATCATTAAACACCTAAGTAAATGCTATAAAGGAAAACAAAAATACAAACATGTTGGGACCCAATCAAATCCGAGCAAAAATCAAGTAGCATCTTCCGAGGAACAAATCAACCAAATCTAAAATCAACCAAACCTATTTCAAAAAAATATAAACTAATTAAAGGAGGCAAAACATTTAATCAAGTAAAATCCTATTTATTTACAATCCCAACATTTGATAAGGTATCAACACATCTATTATTTTCTCCATAAATGTGAAGCTTTAATATATAATCAATTCATATGTTCTTTTATGTAATTTCCAAGGTATTTCTAGAAAAACAAATCTATTTAATATCAACTTTCAAACAATGGATCTCTTATGAATGTACTTGATCATCAACTTAAAGGATTTCTACCCTTCAACGCATGCAACAGAAAAATACGCAGACATAAAAATCACAAGCAAGGATTCCAACTTTGTAACCTCATGATGGATTAATTAGCTTACCTTTGTGATCATCCTTTGTATATCAATCTAATTCAACATAATTCAAATATTATTGTTCATATTCTAGTCAGAAAAACTCCATCTTATTGTTCTGTGAAATAGAATCCCTTTGATTATATATGAGTGTGCATGGCTACATATGGTTTCATCAAGCAGAAGGATTGAAATGTATATGAGCACATATGTATTGTGAAGAACCTTTGAATGAGTGACAGTTGAACATATGCTTGAAAGCTCTATAACAAACTATCTTTGAATGATAGCAATTTACTTCTCACACACACACAATGTTGACGTTTCGTCTCTCGAATTGCCAAACAATTCATACTTCATTTTCTATAAATGCAGGCAACTGATGGGTGAAGAACTTTCTGATTTGAATATGAATCAGCTAAAGGATCTGGAAAATAAACTCCAAATTGGTTTGAGTAATGTTCAAATAAAAAAGGTATTATGGTTCAAGGTCCAAAAGAATCAAAGCTCCTCCTTGAGGTGTATATGTTTGGTTTCCATTTTTTTTTTTTTTTTAAATTTAATTACGTTTCTTTTTCCATGACACTTTGATTGTCAAAGGAAAATCCAAGTTACATGATACAATTGTCACACATGCATGACTCATACACAATCATTTATTTCACCTGCAGGATCAAATGCTTAAAGATGAGATCAAAGTATTGCAACAAAAGGTTCCGACCATTAAATTTTGTTATTTTAATAGGTGTTTCTGCAAATTTGAATTTTTCAGACCGATCACCATTGACGCCATTATGATTTGTAGGGAATCTTCATTCATCAAAAAAATGAAGAACTTCGTACGAAGATAAACCTTTTACATGAAAATAATTCAGAACTACAGAAGGTAAATCATCAAGCAAACTTTTTCTATCTGTCATTCATACTCTAAACTGCCATACAATGCCATGGATTGGTGCTTCACAATTTTTAACTGACATATACTCCATTAAAAAGTAAAGTATCAACTTTTTTTTATGGAGATGTTGATTCTGGATAAATTTCCAACGCTCTAAATGCGTGGTGTATTTAGATGGTTTGAGATTCACATGTTCGTTTTTAACCAACCACTTGTTGATAATTTGAAATTTTTCCTACCAAATTTGAGTAATGGTTTTTTTGTTGGTTTGGTTTCTTTTGTGTTTGTCTAGGTTTTTCCTACAAGAAACTTTTTGTTCAATCTGACCAACAAACAATTAGAAAAAAGGAAAAAGTGAACATTTTCTTTATTATTTGTCATTATTGTTGGAAGTCCCACATCGACTAGAGATAAGGCCAATTTATAATATATAAGTGAGGTGCAAACCTCACCCTACAAGCCGGTTTTGTGAGGTTGAGTTAGGCTTAAAACCCACCTTTCTAACTTGGTATCAGAGCCATGGTTATTTCTAACAATTATGGTTGGTGTTTATGCGTTGTTGTTAAAGTTCAATGTGAAGAAGTGTGATTTGATTAAGGTTAAATCTTAATACCAATTTATTTATTGGTGCATTTATTCTTCCTCCAAGTCATGTAGAGTTAGAATATGGTCATATTTTCTTTTCATGTTATTTTCATACCCAAAAAAAATTAACAAAATTAATGAAAATATATCTACACACAAAAGCTAAACCATATACTCAGTAGGTTTAATCTTTTAACGATGGTTTGGATCCTACCTAGGTTATTGAAGCAAGGGATATGGAAAAAGAAAAGGCAACATGCTATCAGCAATGGATATGATACACTTGAACCTATCAGTTAGCAACAAAGCCAGCTTCAGCCTCAACACAAGAGGAAATGATTATGGGGTATTCCTTCATACTGATGATATAAAAAATTCAACTGATGTAGTAAATTATAGAGGAATAATTAGTTGCTTTTTTCTAAAAAATGTAAGAAATCTTTTAAAGAAATAAGCTATTATTCTCTAAATATAAACTGTACTAAACATGTTGTAAGTTTATAAGTTTTAACTTTATGTGTTGTGCACTAGGTGAAAAACCTGTTATTGTTAGATAACGATCGGACATATATCGAGATAAATATTTTCGATCCTTGTTTCTAAATTTGAATTGTCTATCATGAATCATGAAATTACAAACAATAAAATCTATAATATATGTAGGGAAATAAATATCTCCTCAGTGTTGTTCCTGGTGGGCTATATTTTATGATTTCTTAAATCTATACATTATATATCGTGAATCATGAAACTAAATTCAGGTACATCTTTAATAATTGTCTCGCAAAAGTCAGTTGTGAAATGAAGAAAATAATATTTCAAAATTTGTAAATTTTTGAAAACATTATTTGAAATGCAATTAAAATTTTGTACAAGTATTATGTAAAAACTAAACCCAAGAATGAAGTTGTGGTGGAATGGAAGAGTATTGATGTTTTCAAATTTCAATCCAAAATAGGGGTGAATGATTGTGTTCCGGAAGGATATTTCTGGAATTGACCTAGTGTATTCCAGAAAGCAAAATGTTAATGGAGTGTAGGAAGAAATTTGATGGAGTACATGAAGAAACAACCTTAGAGATATGGATCCAAGTTATTATTGCATAGCAGTTTATGTCTCTCCTGAGTTCTTTTTCCTCTGTAGTGTGTTTCTTTCCGCACCTCCTTTCTTTTACTCCCATAATTTTCAAAATACCCATACTATATTACTCCTGTGATGTATTTGTGGTTGGCGGTGGTGATCTTCGAAGGTGATGGTCTCTTTTCATATTTTTCAAATACATTATGGATGGCGTAATTCTAAATATATTTTTTAATTTGAAAATAACTTTCAAAATATATAATTTGAAATGTATTTAAAAATACAATCTAAAATGTATTTAGTGAATATATTCTAGAATATATATTCTAAAAAAAGTTTTGAATATAAAAATATATTTTGAATTGTATAATCTAAAATATATTTAAATATTTTAAATTGTGTGTATATATAAATTTTTAATATTTAAAGTTAGCTATTCAAAATGTATAATTTGAAATATATTTTAAATTATATATTTGAAAAATATTTCTATACTGATCACATACTCTAAAATATATCTTAAAAAACCTTTTGAATATATTGTGCTTGAATGCATAGTTTGTTTCTTCTTTCAAATTGGGTGTCCAACTCACGCTTTGTTAGTTTTCTGTTGTAAACCAAAAAATAATTAAGCCAGTTACATCATGTATTGACTTATAAAAACTCTTATGTTTTATAGATCATTTCATTTATGTTCTGGTTATTTTTTTTCCTTTCTCTACCACTCTTTTATGGTATCAAGAGCACAATAACGATATGTGTAGGGGAGCTTGTGTGTGATCAAGAACAGATGTCAAGGAAAAGAAATCCAGTGAGGAAAGTTTGCTTCAGTTGTTGAAAGTTTTTTTTTTAGGAATAAGGGGTAGAAGAAATTTTCAAATCTTGATCAAGAAGTGAACATAGCAGGGTTTGGAGGAATGATACATGGGTCACTTCTAGTTTTTTATGGCAAGATGTTTGATGATTGGCGTATCAAGATGCAAGCCATATTTGGTTTTCAAGATGTTGTAGAAGTTGTAACTAAATGTCTAACTGATTTGAGCTCAAAGTCCACTAATGAAGACAAAATAAATCACAAAATGCAACAAAAACTTGATATGGTTCCTTCTCTATCAATGTGTCAGTTCAAAGATCTTACAAGACCTCAAAGGCTACTACTGCTAAAGAAATTTGGGAGATATAGGTGAAAATATATGGGGATGGTGACAAGAATAAGAAAGTGAGGCTTTGCGAAAGCAGTTTCAAATCTTAACCATGGATGAGAGTGAAATTGTGGTAGAATATTTCTTCAAAGTATAGGAACATGTCAATGTTATGTGGGCATGTAAAGACTACATTACAAACCGGTATGTAGTGGACAAAATTTTGAGAACTCTAACTCCAAGATTCGATAATGTGGTTGTGGCTATTGGAGATGTGTGATTTGGAGACCATGGAGAATGTAGAACTACAACATTCATTAGAGGCACAATTATATCGTATCAATGAGCACAGGACATGCCAAGAACAAGTGCTTCAGGCTCGATCTCAAAACAAAGGCAATAAAAGGTCCAAGAAGAGTGGAAAAGGTAGCATTAAGCATAAGGAATCACATAAACACCAGAGTGAAGATTCTAGTGATCCTGACGAATGCAAAAATAAAAAATCTTGCACCAATTCTAATGGAGAAAAAGAATGGAAGTTTAATAAAAAGAAGGTAAGGTGCTACAACTGTTAGAAGTTTGGCCATTTTGCTAAAGAATGTTGGAAAGGTGGTGGAGCCAAGAACAAGCTGAAAAATATAGCTCATTTGGCATAAGATGATACTTCATTTGAGAGGTTGTGGGATTGGGTACCGGGCCAATATAAATGAAAACAGAAAAAAACAAAACTCAGATGATGTTGTCTGGTACTTGATTCAAGTGTTCAAACATATATGCATGGAAAGAAGGAATGTGATGTGTGAATAAAATGTAATTGCATTCATATCTTAGTTTAGGCCATTTGCATACATAATTGCATTAATTGAATGATTTCATCATGCATTATCTTTGTTTCAGATCATACATTTGGATTTTGTGTTTTTCTTGTAGATTGGTGATTATAAGTATAAAAATCACAACTTAGGAAGAATTGATGTCCAAGATGTAGAGGATGAAAACTAGAGAGTTCCACACTAGCTATGCAGTTCCACAACTTAGCTATGGACAGTTCCACAACTTATGGATTTTTTTCTCCAAAATGCAGAGGCAAAATAGAGAGTTCCATAATGAGCTGTAAAAGTTTCACAACCTGTGGATTTTGCTCCAAAATACAGAGGTAAAACAGAAAGTTCCACAACTGAGCTGTGAAAGATTACAAGAGTTTTGCCTCTCCAGGATCACACACGGTATTCTCATCACTCCTAGTTACAACGAGTATTAGTAACATTCTTGGTTTCATAGTCAACATGACTCTATCGAAGTTTAGCTTCTCCACAATCTAACTCTAGACAAGTTGTTAGACATTCAATCAGCCTAAGGAACAACCAAGTATTTGAGTTTTCTCTAGAACTTACAACAAATCAATAAAGGGGATTTTCAACAAGTACAAAGGAATGACTACAGTAAGAGGATATGCGTTCAAATTATAATACAATACATCTGTAACACTTGAAAGTGTTTCTCTCTTTACAAGATTTCTCTGCAAAGGTATTGAGTGTTAGACGAATTTAGAACACTTTAGCTTTCTCTTTTTCTGGTGCTGATCTTATAATGCTATTAAGCGTTTTTCAACAACACCATCTTTTCTTCAAGCTTTCTTCTATATATAGCTTGTCTTGAAAGATGACCGTTGGACTCAGTAGTTGACTTCTAAAGAATTGGCAACTTTTTATTGTGATGTTTGACTTTAGTATACTTGTAAGGTCCAGAGCATTTCTTATAGCCTTAAGCAAATTTTAAAACATGTACGATGTGACAGAGTAGTGGCTTAAAGGAGACATTCTTCATAATGTTTTTCTTCTCTCACAACATCTTTTTCTTCGGTATCATGATTCTGATCATATCTTTCTTCTTTATTGATTTGCACAGATATCAAGAAATAAAGTATACAAGTATCGAAGTACTTTTTCGTACACACATTAAATATTTTAAACGATAAAAGTTAAGCCATTGTAGCGTGTTCAAGGACATTTTATCATTTGGCATTTCACTAATAAATGTTTCGTTTGGTAAGACAAATATGTATTCATCAAATGGTATAAAACATAAGATGTTTTCTCAAGGCTAAAGCGTCTGGTGGTCACTTATCAAATTATATTTTCTATAGAACATTTTGCTTGACATAACACATATTAGATAAAATTTCTTTTAATCTTAGTGTTATATAAGAGATAGAGTTCTGTTTTCATAAAAAGCTAGCTTACTTTGCTCATAAAGTCTATTGAGAGAGTTCAATGAGAGACATTTATGTTGTTTACGATTTTCTAATCCATTCAAACTGTTTGATCTAAAAAGCATTACTTCAGCTCTTGGCTTCATATGTTATAAGATGCTTCTTTACTAGACGCTACTTGTTTCAAACAACTTTTACTACGCAGTAATATTTAGTTTGATATTGTTTGTTAAACTTTAAAACTTGGGTTGCTTAGACAATCTTTTCTCTAGAAGATTTTTGTCTTAACAAGGAGGTTGATCATCCAAGAACATTTGTCCCAGAAGATGACATTTCATGTGGTGATGAATGATCTCAAACATCAGTGCTTTGTTGTATCAGAAAACAAAAGCAAAATGGTTATGGCATTTGAGGTTTGGACATTTGAATTTCAGAGACTTATCTCAACTAAGCTAACGTGAAATGGTTAAAGTCCTACCTATGATTGACATTCCTAAAGCAATATTTTGTTCAATGTAAGCAAACTAGAGGAAGCTTTCAAAAAAAACTTGCCTCAAAGGACAGTAGAGAAATGATTAATATATTGGATGTCTTTTTAGATTGAAACACCTAGGGCAGAGGTATTTCTTGTTGTTTGTCGATGATAACTCGGAAAAGGTCGACATACTTACTACTAAGAAAAAGTGGGGTGTTGAAAGTTCTGAAAAAAATTCAAGAATATGTGGAAAGGCAAAGTGATAAGAAGATAAAAACTTTGAGAACTGATGGAGGAGGAGAGTATACCTCCATGGAATGCAAGAAGTTTTGTGAAGAAAAGGTTATAGCACATGAGATTACCCCTCCTTATACACCACAACATAATGATACTACAGAAAGGAAGAACATCAGTATTTTAAATATGGTCAGAT